CCTACCCCCACAGCTTCCAGTTCCATTAAATGAGACCAAGGATAAAGGGACTTTCCTCCTAAAACTTGCTCACAGTGCAGCCAGCTCAGAAGCAGAAGGGGAACCGTTCTGCCAGACTCCACATGGCTGTGCTGGCAAGCGTTCCAGCCTGGGAGGGGTGAGTGAACAGGGATGTCTCTGGCTGGTGTCCCCTGCTCGATTTCAGTTCCAGCAGGAGAGAGGGTGGCTATGGACTGTGGAGAGCCTTTTGGACAGAGCAGCTCTAAGAAAACTGAACAACTGGAGACAGCTGGCTGCAATTTTTCAGATCCTCAGGAAAGTATGATTTTGTGTTGAGCAGCTGCTACAAACGCTTAAGAGGGAGCTGTTACCAACAGTAATGACTGAGGGATTAATATTAGAAAGCAGATGTGTCGGGCCACGGAATCTGTTAAAGATGTGCTCCCTGTCAATGAGACCTCACTGAAGGGCTCTTGGCAGCTGTCTAGCCCTGCAGGATTTCTGAATCTCAATGAGCTACCATGAAAGGAAAGAGGATCGGTGTTGAAATTACCAGCGTCACAACAGTTAAACCGAAGCTGCTGGAGCTGAAAGATCTTTGTGCTTTCTCCATGTTTTTACTTTCCTCTGACCCAAAAGTCTGCTTTGTGAATGACTCATTAAGAGATGGGCCATGGCAGAAAGAACAGGGACCAAGAGTGAATAGGAAGCAGTTATTTGGACAGAGGGAGGAAACGTGAGAAGGAAGTAAAGTTACTGTGGAGTTACAGGAGGTGGAGGTGCTGTGAGGGGCTTGCGTCTTTGATCCTAGGAGAGAATCCATGACTGGACCCCACAAAGAAAGGTAGTTAATCATCTCGGTCAAATAAGAGTAGGATCAGAATAAGAACAACTATAAAGTACAATAACGAGTACAAGAGCCAAGAAGTGGAGTGTGAGTTCAAACTGAGGGAATCTGGAGAGAACAAACACCAAGCCTGGGACCTGTGACAAAACTTCCTGTTATGAGAATGGGACAACATCCTCCAACTCCTCTGATCCTAAGAACTGTGCCTGGCGAGGAGATTCAGATGGGGACGGAATTGTATGAGCATGCCTGGGAACTGGGATGTCTGTTTAGTGATTTCAAAATCAAATTCCCTCCACATCAGAAGAAAACTTGTTGATTGCAAGCTCTTCCACAGGCAGAACTTAGATTTTTTTACAAGTACTAGAAAATTTAGTGATAGTAGAATGCTCAGCAATACAAATCACCATTAAATTTACCTGTTGGTAAAGCTGTTGGTGTATACTTAGTATTGATTGAATGGGAAACCAGAAGCAAACTGAAAGCTAGATGCTAACTGAAACATTTGTATTATGTTAAAATAGTTAGTAATGAATATTATTCAAACCTTCCTTATAAATAACACCGTCAGTATTAGCATGTTTTTGAAAAATGCTGGTTTTAACCAGATTTCTTTTTCAAAGGAAGGTGATTCCACTGATGCTTTTTCAATTTGCCATACTAATAAAGCCATTTACCATAGAGTTTAGCCCTTAGCTTCTCTACAGTTTGCTTTGCTTAGTTTAATAAATAGCCACTTTGGCTACTAGTGAGTTCAGAGTTCAGATCAACCGTGCAGGAAATGGAAGGCCTGAAGTGTTCAGCCAACAGAGACCCACAGACCAGGTAGTGACGACCAGTCTGTACAATTCCTCTTTTCTCTTCATCCAGCAAGAGTAGCTTTAGTGCCAAGAAGGGAAAGAAGAATTGGGCCATGACAGCATATATCAGTGCGTGCTGCCCTAGCTGTAGCTTGGGATAGGACTAGCATTGCTCGTCAAGGCACAAAAAGTAAGAAGCATTAAAAAAAAAAAAGAAAAAGGTATTTAGTCACTTGAAGATTTGTACAGTTTCTTCTTTCATGGCTCTTATGTTCCACATCACCCTTGATTTAAATCAATGTGAGATGTACCTCACATATTCTGTCTCTCCCCTGAATATACAAGTGACATCTGCTTAAGTTGTTGCAACTTCTCTTTAATGTTTGGAGAAGGGGGTCTTGGGAGTTGACACTGAACTGAATACAGCATGTTTCCTCTCCGCTTATTCTGAAGCTTGGATCAGAAAGGACCCAGAGTTTCCTTTGTCTCTGAAGGTGCTTGGTGCAGATGTGAAGCCTTGTAAAATGTGACCAGGCACCGAGTTTAGGACTGGAGAGGAAAGGGGATAGTTATACTTCAGATAGATTTGCTTTGTTTCCAATGTAAGTATACCATATTTAAATCATCTGCTAGGTTCTTCTGTGTTGGCACAGACATTAAGGAGATGAAAATAACTGGAATTAAAATAGGTGCTTTTTATGGTTATGATGGCTATACATTCCCTAGGAGATGGCACTGTCTATGTGAATGCATTGCTAGGGGATTTATCCTGATAGCTGAGGTTGTAGCTTCCGGTGACCCTGACTTCAGGAGCCATACAGTTGAGCAGTTACAGATGTTTTCGCTTGGTGAGGAGCCTGCTGACTGTTAAGATACTCACAGCTCCAAATGCAGGTAGCACGGTGAATACCTTGCTGTCACACTTTAGATTTCTTTCTGAACTCCTCCATTTCTCAGCCTGTCAACCTCACTTAAAATTAGTCTGTGCCTTGTATTTGCGGCAATTTTAATGTGCGTTGAATAGAGAGGGTCTTGACAGCCTCCAGGGCTAAGGATGCTAGGAAAAATACCAAAAGAACGGCTATAACAAATAGCTTCCGTTTCTCCATCAGAGTACCCCTGTGAAAAGCTTACTCCTCTGCACCAATTCCCAAGCAAGACAATCTCTTGAATCTCTAGTAAATTTTCATTGAGCGCCTGCCATTGAAAGGGGATGTATTGGTGATAGATGCTTGGTGAAGGAAGCAACTGTGACTGTTCATTTCAGGGGTCTCTTAAAGTCACACTGCATGCTTTGGTGCCATTTACTGTGTGCTTGGGATGTCTGTCTTGGTCGTGTGAGTTCCCCTTTCTGCCCCCTTCACCTCTCACTTTACTCTTTCTTCCCATGTTCATTAGAACTCTGAAAATGTATAGCATGGCGAAAGAGCACTGAAATAATTTAATGTGGGGGCTGAAATGGATGGATGGACAGTGGTAGACCATTCCAGTGGTTCATGTGTTCAAAACCTTATCACAGGAAATAACCTGTATACTTGGTTTTCTAAATGTATATGTGAAGCGCTTGTTAAAATGTTGCACCATGGTGTAAGAAGTATACTGTGTCTAGAAATTACTGAAATGATCAATATTGTCTTCTTTCCTGAGTTTTTGGTGGATGTATAAAGTAGGTATCTGGTGCTGTCCAAAGTAATCAAGGAGCAGCAAAACCGACAGCCAGTGTTGTCAACTCTTTACAACATCAGCTTTTGGAATGATAAAATTCTTAATAATTATAGCTTTTATTAAAAAAACCCCCAAACTCATTTTTATGGTCTTGAAGAAGATTTTGTAAACATGAAATCCAAAGAGAGATGTAAAAAGGAGTGTATGATGTAAGGGTTTTTTGAAGTTAATGTCAGAAAAGTTTCTGGAGCCATGAGCCCGGAATTGTTGGGCTGACAAGGTTGACTGAATGGACCCGCTTTTCCCATTTGCCAATAACAGCACAGGTTTTGTTCTGGCTAGTTTTTTACATAGACCGTGACCAAATTTCTCTTCTGTCCTCCTTTACATTATCACTGTGGTATTTCTGAGTTAGTCTGACTTGGCATGTCAGAGCTCTCTCTTTACCTTTGTTCAGCACAGGTTAGATGGTTCTGTTCCTCTTGCAAAAACCAAACATAAATCCTTATTCTGATTTTCTTGCTACTCAGCTCAATGTGGTGATTTTCAGGGAAGTTTTGAACTCTTTTATTTAACTGCATTCTCAAATGGTGGCTTGTGACAATTCATTGCAGCTCAGATAACAGAACTATTAAAAAGGTAAATTAACAGCTTTGAGATTAAGGCAGGGGAATGATCCATGTCTTTAAAGCCCTTAGTCTTCTGTATAGTTTACTGGGAGTATCTGTATAGTCTGAAGGCCGTACAGACTTTCTGAATGAGTGTTTTAGCAGCTCCACTCAGTGACTTCACCCTGTGCTTTAGGAGTTTGAGTAGACTATAATTTATTGTAGTTTTCAAGAGCTAGCAGCTGCCTCCTTAGGTTCAATAAGAAAACAGTTTCTGCTCCTGCCCAGTGGCAAATCTAATAGCCTGAGACTGGTAAAGCATGAGGGAGCAGAGAGCACTGAGAACTGAAGGAATTTGCCCAAGGTCGATTTGAGGATGAGCAGTAAAAACAAGCTAAGCACTTAGAATTCTTGACTTGCAACCTAGTGCCTTTATCCTTTTACTCATGGTGCCTTCTGCTCCTGCCAGGATGTAGTGCTGAGATTTGGGAGAGATTGCATTAAACTGTCTGGCTCGAGAAATTGTTCTTTTGAAGTGCAGCTGATCCTAGAGAAGAAATGTCAGTGTTAAAAATGACACCGACTGCTAACTCTGATCCAGTGAAACAGTATCTGAGAAAATTTGAGTGCTCGGTGATGACTAGATAATTCATCACTGCTTTATTTTGTATAGTCTTTCAAGCAGACTGAATCCCTGTGTGCATGCTTCAGAAAGTTAAATAACAGTTGCACAGATAATGGCAGCAGAGGGAGAATGAAATCAGGAGACGGAGACACAGGCAAGAAGACATAGTGTCTGAGAATTGGGAAGTGATGTTTAGTGAACCAAAGGGGTATGGGAGCAGGCTGTTTTTTAAGCAGGATTTATAGAGAAGGTTTTCATCTCAGCATAAAGAGAAATCAAGCATGGGATTGCATTACCGTTTAAGGTAAACTTGAAGTAAAAACCCTCCTCACAGAGGTTTTTAAACTTTGTTTTCTTTAGTATTTCCTCTTTTTTTTATTTTTTATTTATTTCTTTTTTTCCCCCCTAGAGAAGAGAATTTCTAACTAACAGATGGGATGTGTTTGTCATCACAGGTTCTGAGTCTGCTTCTCCGTGTCGCACCTTGGAGTTTCTAGCTGGCACCATTACCTCCAACGAGTGGAGTTCTCCCACCTCCCCTGAGGGGAGCAACGACTCAGGGGGCAGTGAGGCCTTGGACAAACCTATTGACAATGACGCTGAGGGTGTGTGGAGCCCGGACATTGAGCAGAGCTTCCAGGAAGCGCTAGCCATCTACCCACCATGTGGACGGCGGAAGATTATCTTGTCAGACGAAGGCAAGATGTATGGTAAGGAGATAGGACATGTCACAACGCTCGAGGCAGCGTGCCCTGTGCAAGCCACTTGCTTTGCACCAAATGATGTTCTGAATGAACTCTTCTCTCTCAGGCATTTTTAAGTTCATGTGACTGGTCACTTCAAGTTGTATTAGGAAAATTAGTGAAGATTTTAACAGTTGCAGATCAGAAGGAATTATAGGTGTCTTTTTCAGGGGACTATCAGTAAAGCATATCCTAGAGTTGGGTGTGCTACTGAACTAATCTTTGGATAGTAATGGCTTAGTGTTGTGACTAAGTCTCTCTTTTATGGTATCTCTCACTGCTGTCTCCAATATTTTTGTCATCCTGACAGGTAAAGTTCTGCATCTCTGGTGCTAAAGGGCAGAAGTTCAGCCCCTGAACCCCTGAAAGGCTTTGCTGGTGGTGTGCAAACACCATTTCGTTAACCAGCTGTGCTTTTCAGATCTTAAGAAGGGCAGAAAACAGATCTCTCTGGCTGCTCCCTTTCATTGTAGTTTGCCTTGTAGCCCTGACATGAATGTCTTTGACCTATAGGTTCTTTCTCAGCTAGCTAGATAACTAGCCCTGAATTGAATGTAGAGACATGCTGGCTTGCAGCTGCAGCAGAAGTCAACTTTTTAGGTGGTAGATGTGGTTTTTGAATGGGATTTTTGACCTATTCCACAGTTAAAATTTCATTCTTGATTTTTGTCCACAGAAAAGCTGATCTGAGCTGGATTGTCTAGTTCAGCATTGGAATAAGCTACCTTGTACTTCTGTGACTAAAAAGCACACCAAAGGCTGAGAGTGCGCAATATTTGGTTAAAAGTCCCAAGGTGTCAAAACCGTTTCTCAAAGCACTAGCAAATATATGGAAGGCAGCCCTCTCCTTACCGAGTCAGTGCTCAGTTTTGTTTTCTTCCTTTACCCTGGAATCTGTGTGTCTATGCAGGCCTCATCATGGGAGCACCATGCCCTGAAGCTTCAGATGGAGCACTTCACAAGTCATTCTGCAGGTTTCTGTCCACCCCTAGAGCCATTGTTCACTGAGCTGGTGAACAGATTGCTCTCACTGTGGGGGCATGGGTGAGGTCTCGTTTACAGAGCCTTATCTAGGAGGCATGGTTTTACTGGGTACACACATCGTTGTGTCTGAACACAGCCATATATGTTGACTAAGGCAGATCACCCTGAGGCTCAGCAGTTGTCAATACTCTTATGTAGACATCAATTCCTGCTCTGTGCCGGCACAAACATTTTTGAGGTTGTGCTGTGGAACCGACCAAGGAACTGATCCAGCTAGAAAGGGGGGAAAAAAGTGAACTTAATTTTGGATAAGCTGCCTGATTTGTTTCACTGCACAACTGCTTGTGCCAGTGCTTAGGGAAGGGATGAGGAAAACGGGAATGAGCAGCCTTGTTTGACGTGAGGGTAGGACTGCTTCTTTCGGAAGCAATGTTTGCTTTAAAATGTTACTCAAACTCATTTATTACTTGAAAATTATCTCCATGGTTACTAGGCATAGATTGGTGAATGCTCCTTGCTGCTGTAAGTTTGCAGAACTAGTTTGCTGCACTAACTTTCACAACAGGTGACGTTTAAAATTACTGGTGGAAAATGACCGTTGTGTTTTAAGACTGGCTTAATTTACTGATCATTCTGCACAGTCCCTGAAAAACTTCAGCTTTGGAGCGAATGTTCGGAGCAAAGAGTGAAATGGGCCAGAAGGATTTCGGTGACAGAGCGAGAGCAGAAGTAGAAATCAGAGTAGAATGGACTGCAGGAAGCAGCAAGGCTGGTGCCTCACCCAGCGCGGCCTGGCGTGCAGTGGGGGTCTCTAGGTGGCTGGGCTGGCACGCTGCGGGAGCAAACCACCCGCTTGCAGTCCGAGAGGTTGGGGCTGGGCTCTGGACGAAGCGAACAGCTTTTGGGCGGGCCCTCCCCCGCAGCCCCGAACGGGCAGTGTCCCTGCTTGCCTTCGGTGCACCTGTTCCCACCATGGGCGCTCCGTTCTGCGTGCTCCTCGCACAACCCAGGGCACTGATTTAGACCCTCCTTTGCTTACTAGACTCCAGGATTCGTGCCAAGGAAGCAGGGCCCGGCCTGGGGTCTATAGAAAGATATGACCAGGCAGGGAGAATAAATATAGTCCCTGATTTCATCTTGACCGCTTAGGAGCCAGCTCACGAACAGGACAGGCTCTGCGTGGAGCTGGCCCTGCCCCCGGGGCACAGTTGTTTGGCTGTCCCGTGACTGAGTTGCAGAGTTCACTGCACCAAGGGTTTGAGGTGTTGCACGGAAACGTCTGTGCCCCTTTCCCTTGACAAGAGTTGGAGCATTTCACTGTTCCCCACTGATGCCTTTCCTGCTTTCTTATCTTTCACTGTATTTTCCCTCCTAGATGTATTCCATTGCTGGAAACAGCATCCTGATATTGAATAAGCTCGTTACACAGTACTGCTCTCACTGTCCTCTCCAGCAGTCTCTGCTTACCACCTACTTAAGGCATGAAAAGCTGTCTCGTCTGATATGGGATGCTGTATTTTCTCGTAATCATTGTGTTGACATTAGAAGCGATGAGGCTGGTATCTCTTGGCATTTTCAGTACTGGTCTAGAGAAGGAAGAGGGGAAGAGCTTAGTACCTCTGTATGATTTGCATGGAGATGGTAAATAGAGCAGGTTTCCCAACACTCCTGAGGACAGAGAAATAAAAAATAGTAACCAGCAAAGTGAATACTTACTCTGACCAAACCTTGCTGGGGCCTTGATTTACAAGTGAGGAAGTAAGAGCTTGGAAGAAATGAGCTACTGCCTTAGCTGTCCGGCATTGCCTTTCACTGCACAAATGCCTGGCGTGGAGCACCTTTCCTGTGAGAGGAGCTAGAACCGGCGGCTCTGTGTTAGGTTGCTGTTCTGTGGGAGGCAGTAGTTTAGCAACTGTACAGATAGTTCAGCCATTTCTGTGCTGAGCAGGGGGGGCAGACAGCTGGTGGCAGTCATCTATCTCCCAGGCTGGTACCATCTGTTTGTGAGTCAAAGCCCTGACACAGCTCAATGGAAATACTTCAAGACGTCCAAAGCTCTGAGGCTGAGTGATAGAAGAAGGATAGTTAACCGTGTTAAAACCTGGAGCAGTCGGTGCACTGCAGAGGCTTGAGCTTGCAACATGAATTGAGCTGGCAAAAAAGGCCAAACTGATGCCAAAAGCTACCGTGCCTCCCACCCCCGTTGTGAAGTGACTAGGTAAATTTGCAGGATATTGCTTTTGTCTCGGAGGGATGTGTTATCAGGTAATGTTTTCCATGACCTCAAATAGTAACTAGAAGGAAAACTGGAAATCAACAAAATAAACCCGAGGAAGCGCTGCCTGTCCCAGTTCATAAACACTTCTCCTTGAGGGGTGGGAGGAGCATGGCAGCTATTACAAATATTAAAATCTTCAAGGTGTCAGTCTTCACATGCTTTATGGTAGATCTACTTTAGCATCTCACCTAATGTTGTTTCAATCAAAGCAACTGAAACATGCTGAGAATGTGCTCAGTTGACACTGACCTGGCTGGCCCAGCTAATTGCAAAATTTGGATTTCAGCTGTGATATCCCTTAGAGAGACACTTCTACAGTTCCTATCTTTTCCATTAGTGTGACCTAGTGAACCACAGAACAGCCCTTTTTTATCCCACAGTTTTGGTAACAAAATTGGATATCCCATTTTAAACACCAGAAGACAAATGAAACTTCGATTCATTGGCAGTTGGTCAGGATGCAGACTTTTCCCTTCTCTCTTTTCCTAGTGTTAAGTGTGATGTTGTTGGGCTTGCTCAATAACAAGGTTTTATTTCACTGAGTCAGCTTTTAACTTTGCTTTTGTGTGGTTCTGATCCTTTGCTGTTGACTAGATGAAGGCTGGTTTCTGGAGACATTTGCAGCAGGTTAAACTTCTGCTGGAGTATGTACAGCTGTCCTTCCATCTCCTTTGTAAGCTGAGGTTAGGGTTCTTCAAGTTAAACTGTTTCTTCAAGTTTAACTGGTGTTTTCTCCATGCAAACATAAAAAGAAATATTTTTCCATGAGTTCCAAGCAATTCCTGAATATTGAGGAATTTATCACTTTTTGAAACGCTAACCAGCCAGGAAACTACTTGCTATTGCAGTTAATAGAATTAATTAGTAGTGACTGTGGCATCTTCCCTTAACATGCTTAGTACTGAACAGAAACATAATTAGCAGTTTCGTTGTGTTACATGTTTACTAAATTATATGACTATTTTGGGGGGCTTTATTCTGTTGTTTCAACAAAGGACACATACTTCTTTTTTCTTGTCCCTTTTGATTTTTTTAGGAGCTTTGTAGTCCTGTTCTTATCTGTCAGGCTTAAACCCAAGCGGGTTGTGTAGGGATTGTATTTTTCTCACTGTATGTATCTGCAGCCACAGAGCTTTCATCATGTTCAAGTAACTTCCTTCATTAGCTACATTGCATTACCCTTTTGGCTCTTCCTCTGACTTTTTGGTTTCTAAATTTCAAACATGTAGTAATTGTCCAAGATAGACTTGCTCTGTAGCTCTGATTTTTTTGTTGGGTTTTTCTTTCTTCGCATTGGAACTAGCACCCAGTTTAGTTGATTTCCAGTTAGTAAGCCAGCTTTATGTTTATAGCTGTATCCAAGCATCTGCCTTGTATGAGAGACTGTTTCAATTTCATTTGTCAGCATGTTCCCTTGTTGTAAGTTGTTGTTTTGCTTCTGCTGTGCTTCTGGATAACTTTACACATTTCCAGTGGTTTTCTGGAAAGTTTAGTAAAAAAGCCTTAGTGGCTTTTTTTTACATTTTTTAAAAAAACACTCTGTTCTTTCACAATTGGATCCAAATATTTCCAGTTGCTAATCTGCTCTTAAACATACAAATTGGCAATTTATATTTAAAATTTCAGATTGAATTCAAAACCTGGGAACAAAATCAGACATGGAAAGTGAAAATTAACAGTGTCCACTGGATTGGGTTCCTTTTTT